AACTGGTTCCCAGTAGAAAGTCACACTCCACCCCCAAACAAACCCATATTCTGCCCAAAATAAAAACTAGTTGCCCATATAGTGATTGAAACATATAAAATTGCTAATGTTCAACTGATTTTTGCCCTCTAAAGCTGGAAGTTTCACCTGATTCAACCTATTAAAATGGTCCTGGTTTAGTTACTAGTAGGACAGTGGTTCTCAGCTTTGTTTCCAAACTAAAATCAATTAGCAGCTTTTTGGAAATACCCTTGCTAGGACCTCAGCCCACAATAAGTAGTGAATTCAAATCTTTGTGCACAGGGGCAGGCATAAGGCACTTAACCATCATTCCTATAACACTCTAGCATGTCCCTGAGGCAGCCATGGGAGGTGCTCAAAGCCTTCTGTACATGCCTTACCATGTCACCTGTGTAGGGTAGAAGCTTCCTGGCCTTTTTCATGAAGTTTGAGGAACCCAGAATGTCCATGTGACTCAATTACTTCATACAGTAATTAATGCAATTATTTTGTGCACTAAATTGAGTTAATAAAAATTAAAGTTTCCATCACATGCACACACATGCACAAGCACATACACAATGCGTGCCTAATACTCCATCCTAGGCTCATTACAAAGTTACTATCTAAGGGCTGGGGGTTTGGCTCAGAGGCATAAGCACCTGCCTGGCAAGCATGAGGTCATGAGGTCGTGAGGTCATGAATTCGAACCCCGGCACCAAAAAAAAAAAAAAAAAAAAAAAAGTTACTGTCTAGAGAGAATTAGCAGTCTGGAATTTGCAGTACTATCTTTGTTCAGCACATTGAAGAGCTATATTAAAGAAAGCCACCAAAAACAGGAAAATGTTTAGATAGGGCCCTAGATATTTACTGAATAATACACACCACAACAAAATGCACAATTTGTACTTGTTATTAAATTACTGCCGCCATACATTGCAGTTAAGTGAAGTATAGCCTTAAAAGCCTTGATTTTTTTGCATTCCTACTGACTCCAGGAATTTAACTTCCCTCTAACTATATTTTCCTTTTGCTCTTGATATAAAGATTTTTGAACCAGATTAAATAGATAAATTCATTTTCAGGATAAAATCAAAAATAGCCTATATTACTTTTGAGGATGGTGAAAATGTTCTAAAATTAGATTATGGTACTGGTTGCTCAACTCTGTAAATCTACTAAAAGGCACTGAATTGTACACTTTAAATATGTGAGTTTTAGGATATGTAAGTTGTTCTTTTAAAAATATTACCAGACTAGGAAACAGACTGAAATATTTCTACCACTTTTGGAACCCATAGCCTGCATGTCTCAGCAGAGCAGCTGGATGTGTAACATGTGTATATATGACACTGAGCCTGGGGCACCAGCATCCACTCAGATTACACTGACAGAGCAGCCACAGAAAGTTTAAGTGGCTATTCCACTGCCATCACCAAGGGAGGGTTCAGAGTAGCTCTACAGAGCTTGATGGCCAAATGAAAGAAAGATATTTGCTCCCCTGGGAAAGGAATGCAGAAGCCACTGCCTCCAGGAAAACTGGAGAGGTACACGTGTTCCTTCATTCACTAACCCTGTCACCCGCACCGGGATCCTAGCACCTTGGAACAAGCAAGCTTTCCTCTGACTCCCCTTAACTTGCTTGATGTAGAGCTCACTTAATTAGTTCAGGGAGATCCATCATTGTGGGTTCAAAGAAAGTGTGCATGTGTTGCCTTCACACCTTGAGATAATACTTTCCTTCATACCTGAGATTTCTGGACTTTTACTGGAGTTCTGGAGCTTGAGAAATTGGTAGAGACATAGAAATTATGGAACCACTTTTTTAAAATGCTTACAGTGATGAAGAGAGCAGGCGACAAGCCTCCAGTGCTCCGTTCCCCAATTCTGCAGGACCCGCTCTCCTCACGTGTCATGTCTACCATGGCCATGTATAGTGTTGGCCCTGTGGCAGACACAGATGTCAGCACCACACTGTCCGGGCATTGAAGGCTTTACAGCCTATGGGGAATAATATCAAATTCCAAAGGCTTTATTGCAAACCATACATAAGAATGATGCAAAAAAATAAAGAAGTGTTGGTTCTCAGAAGTTGAAAAAGGCATATCCAACTAGAAATGCCATGGAAGACTTCATGAACAAGTGGCACTGAGAGAAACTTAACATTTATACAGGTGGTGATGAGGTAGGACTCCAGAGGAAGACTCCCTATGATCATAGTCATGTGGATAAGATAAAGGAGGGCAAGTGAGCCTTAAAGAGCAGAGGATAAAGAATACTCCAAAAACAGGCCAGGAGAGGTACATTGAGACTGTAAATGTCAAGCAGCAGACTTCTTGTTGAATTCTGCAGACCATACACAGATCACTGGTGGGGTTCCACACTAGAGCTGATAACCAAGACTTCTCTGCTGAGGATGTCTGCTGCCTTCAGCTGAGGGAGATAGTTAGATTCCTGCTCTGGTTTCAATTGAATGCACTGTAGCACATCAGTTCAGAGAAGACAGTCCACAAGTGTGTATGGGGGAGTGGAAAGAAAAAGATAAAGTCACAGTCTTGTGTCTTTAAGAGCCTTGCAGTTAAAGCACGAGGGAGAGAAAGGCAAAGAGGAAATCAGGTATCTGCAAATGCAGTACATCATATGAGTAGTGAAATGATCATCACAGCAGTCTTAACAAAGTGACATGACCTTCTGGGGGATGGGGTTCACCTAGCTTATTAAGCTTTGCAAGGATAGGGATGCAGCTTTATTCATCTCTGCATGACCTGGGTTCAGCTCAGTGCCTGGCATCTGGAAACATTCATGAAATGAATGAATGTGGGAGTGAATGAATGAATGAATGAGTGTGCAAATAAACACTTCCCCTGCCACGCATTATCTGCCTAGGATGTCTGTTATAAATTCACATAGTACTGCTTAACTTTGCTTCACATTATTCCTCTCCCCTCCCATCTTATTTTGCTCACCTCAGTCCTCCCTTCCTGTCAGCAACCAGCCCACGCTATTTTCCTGGACTCTGGTTCTTTCACTAATGACAGAGACTGTGCTGTGCAATTTAAGTGTCCTGTATTCTGTGCAGCTGCTTCCTGTGTGCTAATCATGCAAACTGCCTTCTTGAATGATTGCATGGCTCACAGCCCTTAGAATATGTGGACTGTTGATGCTATTTTTTTAAGGAGGGGGAAGAAACTGAGGTTACAGAGCATCAGGTATGATACTAATGCTTGGAAAGAGTCACGCTGAACTTGGGTCAAGTAGCCTGATGAAGGGAAAAACTGTAAGATGGAACAATTTTGCTGTTTGAAAGGTTTTACACAGAGTTTCGTACCCAAGGTTTTCCAACTCTCAAGAGAGAAGGGGACTAAGTGTGTTCGTCCTGAAGAATGAGCCTCCCTCTCTGAAAAGCCTTAAATATAGAGGAGAGCATTTGTCCAGAAAGCTAAGGCTGCAGGATGAGCTGACTTTCTTCTGTGCAGTGACAGGTGGGGAGTTCATCTCACTGTCCTTGTCAGAGAAGAAAAGCCAGTCAGTGGTAAAGCATCTTAGAGGAATTGTTGGCTTACCCTTTCTTTATGATCCCTTGAGGTAGTGAACAAGGTCCAAAGAGATTACCTGACTGCAGACAGACCTATGCTCCTGTGTAGAGAAATAAGATAGGTTCTTACTACAGTCCAGCTCATTTTCCCAAGAATTATGTATTGCATGGTTGGATAATGACCTTCAAACCTGTTCAACTACATCTAGCAAAAAAAGCTGATATGATGATTTCTGCATCAGATTATACATTCCCTGCAGTGATTAATGCTACCCATGTGATTAATGTTGCCTTCCTACCTAGACTGTCTGGGGTGAGTGTCAAGTCCAATCATTTTCCTGTTAGAAAGTGCTCTATATATGCATGAATAACAACTAACTTTACACAATAATTTGCAAGTACTTGCCCCCACACATTTCCTAACCTATTCCTCACAACAACCCTGTGAAGCAGGTACTCCCATTTCTAGATAAAGAAACCAATGTTTACTCAATGTCATACAGCCAGAAAGGGTGTGTTTTTTCCAATATACTTTGCTCCTTCAATGGCCTGAAAAAAAAAGTCAACTCAGTCTTGCCTTCCTAAAAATGACCAGTTCAGTCCTTCACACAAACATTATGCGGCAGCACAATTATAATATTTCAGGGTCAGGCACACTAAGTGCAACCTTAATACATAGTGAATGAATAAATGAATGCATTATACACTGGATGCTTTGCATGGAGTCAGTGGGAAACAAGGGGAGGGAGAAACTTTCGTTCAAAGATTGTATCTGGAGACTAGTGGGTGGCAGGGCATTGGGGACCAGCATGCATCTGACTTGTGTGCAAGAGATACACATAAAATAACTAATAGTACAGAAACCGATTCGTGACTTTTGTTAAAAGCTACTGAAAGTGCGTAGCAAGGAGATCTGATCTAGAGGAAAAGTGATTTGTGTTCCGTGTAGGAAGGCGCGCCTCTTTTGGTCAAAGGAGGATACGTTAAAATCACCAGAACCTTCAAGACAAATTAATACGGTAAAAAGAGGAAGGAAATTGTCTCTCGCAAACAGAATTTTACTTAAGCAACTGTAATTCTCTAGTCCCTCTGCCAGGCTCCCTGCCTGAGAAAAGGTGACAGAAACAACAGAGGTCAGAGAGAAGCCGAAGATCAGTTTTTATAAGCTGGGGTGAGGGGAAGGAAGGGACAGAGACTAGGAGGATGGTTGCGGATCGAGTTAGCGCGGGTAGTCCGGGAGGGAAGCGGTTAAAGGGTAGTCCAGAGCAGTTCAGCAAGGCCCGCCCACTGGTAGGCCGCTCGGGGGCGGGGATTAGCGAAATACGCCCTTGGATTGGCTGTGGGGAAGGCGTTCCGTTTGGACTGTACCAACAGTTGGGTGCCGCGGAGGCGGGGGTGGGTGGGTCTGGGACGGCCGGCTCAACTAGGGGAGAGGCAGCCGCGGAATGGCCGGGCCGGGGGTGGGCGGGAACCGCAGTGGTGGCGGCGGCTGGGGGCCGTGAGAGCGGCGTGGGGCTGCCCCTCCCCGGAGGCGGCGGGGGCGGCCAGGGCCGCGCCGCACCGCACCGCGCGGACGGTCATGGAGCTAGCCTAGGGCCGGACAGGTGAGCGGCATGGGGGCGGGGAGGGTGCGCGACCCCCGCCCCGGTGTGGCGGGCGGGAAAGCGCCGGCGGGCGGGGCGCGGAGAGTGGCGCGCGCCCGGCGGGGGCCGCTGGAGGCGGGGCGCCTCCCAGAGGGGCCGGGCGCGGGTGTCCTGCGTGGTCGCGGGGCGGCAGCTTCGGGTCCCGCGAGGAAACCGCGGCTGTGACTGACTCGGGGCGCATGCCCCTGCGGATGGTGGTGGCTCGAAGGACGCGGCGTCAGCTAACACTTCCCCGGGCCGCTGGAGGCGCGGGCGGCCTTACCTGGGGCCGCCTCTGGTGGCCGGGGTTCCTTCCGGCGACCAGCTCTGGCACGGAGCGCAGTCCCCAGGGGCGACTGGCCCGGGTGCCGCCCTGGTGTCCAGCCCAGCGCCCGCGGCGGCTGCCTCCCAGAAAGCGCGCGCTTGCGGGGTCTCCACTGGGCCCGCCTCGTGGCCGAGTAGCCCTTGTGACCTGCAGGCCCGAGGCAGGAGGCGCGGACAACCTTGCCCGTGGAGCACGGGCTTCTCGGGGTCGTGCACCTGGCGCTCTTAGTGGGGCACAACTTAACGAAATGATGCGATGTCCTAAGAGGGTTGCTCTAGAGGTTTTATTTCCGGGTGTGGTAGCCCAGGGATTAAGAGCGAGCAGAAACGTTGCCCTTAATGATGAACTTGAACAATTGTCAGGCTGTGTCCTTGATTGTGGGGGTCTAATAAAAGTCGTTTTAGTCATCCTTACGTTACCAGTCAATCTTCAATAGGAAGAGAAGTAGATGGAAAGTAGAAGGACAGGGCTTTCACGAGCCATATCAACATCGGGATGGATAAGGAATTGAAAATTTTGGAAAGAGAGAGATGCTTGATACTGCCGATAGGACCTAGGGCCAGTATAGGACCTAGGGCCAGTATCGTCTCCCACTCTACCAGTTTCCCTCTAGAAGTTTCAATTCTACCTGAAAGGAAGTAAAATTGTAGGATCTAGTAGTTAAAGACTTTATAGATCTGTAATTGGATAACGTTAAATTTGCTGTTTATCAATCATGCCTGTAATCATTGTAAAGTCACATATAAATTTCCTAGTGGTTTTTTTTTTTTAATTGGGCTGGTGCTCACAGGGTGCTTCTGTATTACAAACTCTGCTTGAGTTCACACAGGACTTTTAAGCTAAGATTTAGAGCTCTTCCACATATATTAGCTGTTAACCTGACAACATTGAGAAACTGAGATACAGGTACTAAAGGTTTGCTTAGATTCTGTGAGAATCTAATTTAAAATTATTAGTACTGTTTGTGTCTTTGAATCTTGAATTCCTAAGTGAAATTTTATTTCAGAGCAGACTTAAGTTTCTTACACTTTTTGTGACTGTTGTTTCAGTGATACAAATCTTGAAACCAGAAATTTCAGCTCTTAAATTGGTAACTTTTTAGAATAGCTAACAAAAGTGGTTGTCTCTTTGTGGTTGCTACCATCTCCTAATAGAAGCCAGAGACTGCTGTTTGTATTGTGTGCTCATAGTTACAAACAGTATAAAGGAGAGAGGTATTTTTTTGTTTTGTTTTTGAGACAGGACTTTGCTTTTGTAGTACATACAGGCTGGCCTTGACCTCACTATGTAACTCAGGCTGGCCTCAAATTCGAGGTGATCCTCCTGCCTTCCTAGTGCTGGCATTATAGGTGTGTGGCAAGAGAGTCTTCTAAACTTGGATGTCAGGTCAATTTGGAGCTGAGTGCCAGGGTTTGTGGATTGGGTTGGGAACACATTAAGATCATACATTTTGTTACAAAGAACATCTAATAGTGGCAAGTGCGTAGTAGTTGTGTAGGAATTAGTTGTTGATCAATAGATGCAGAATAGTGAGGAAAGCAGAAATATCCTAATGCAAACATTAAATTGTTTGGTCTTCTTTTTTTTTTTTTTTTTTTTTTTTGGTACTGGGGATCGAACTCATGATGGTGTGCGTGAAAGACAGGTACTCACGTTGCTGAGCTAAATCCCTGACCAAAGGCCTCTTTTTATAAAAGGAAAATAAAAAGCCCAGCAAATTTTATCAGATTCCTTTTGAAAATGTGCTGTTTCAACTGTTGGTAATATTCATATCAGTAGTATAAACTTTTCTTTTGTGCCTTAAACTGAAGGTGTGTTTTCTTTCTTTCTGCACTTTGCTCCTCTCTCTCTGTCATCTCCAAGGACTGGTGAATTCATAATTGTGGGCCTGTCATGAAGAACAGAAGGCCTTACTTTGCTACTAAAACCAACTTTTGACCAACTTATAGTGTCAGCATGACAGCTAAAGCTGCCTAGAAGAGAATGTAATGCAAAGATACCACTTCTCATTGGTTTTTCTTAACAGAAACAAAAGAAGAATGCCTATTTGGACCTAGAAAATCTTGAGGGTACATCTGTCATCCAAGAGATAGAGATCAGAGGCTTATGCAGAAACTAGTGAACTTTGGTGGGTGTTCAAGATCTGTACTTTGTGACAAGGTAACAACCCCTTGAGAGGAGAGGGTGCTAATTTGAGTACCTGATAAAAGGAAGAGATCAAGGAATATGAACTTACGAGTTTAAAGAGAACAGAACCAAGAACCAAGATTGATGAGGCAATAAAGTCTATCACTCCATCTCTTGAATGTTGACCTGCAGCATGTGTATAGCTATGCGTCATTTATCCAATGATGGAAAATAAAGTATGTACAAAATTCTTATTTTATTACACTTATGGAAAAGTTCTTAAAATCAGTTATTTACTATTTAGACAATATAGCTAACCATTTCTTTATTATCCAAAGTTATGATTACTATTATCCAGTGGTGATAGTAATTGAGTAAGGCTTTGAATAACTGAGAAATACAGGTCGTTTGCCCTCTTGGATTTTTAAATTATTGAATCAAACTTTAATGGTGTTTTTCAAGAATTGGAAAGTTGTACAGCTTCTGATCTCCTATAGAGTAGAAGAAACTCAGATCACTCTGCTTCCTGAAATCGAATGTAAAACAATGACATTGGCTTAGTTAGGTTCCACTAACCATTCTATTAATACTAATAAGTGAACTTTGTAGCCTCTATATCAGCAACCCAGAGGCCTTTTTTGTTCATTTTTTGTTTCTTATCCTTGACTTACATAGTGAATTTGTACTCCATATAGGTACATTTATGTTTGTATAATTCATCCTGTAGAAAAAAAAGAAAATGGGAGTTCAAGTGTTGATTCTTCTCTCAGAAAGCATTGTCAGGTGATACTTGAAGCATATCAGTGTGTGTGTCCATGTGATCACAAAGTGATAATGCCTGAGCTACCCTGCCATCTTATCAGCACAGGCCTGTTTTGCAGTTGTACTGTTTCTGAAAGAGATTTTTGTGTGGGCAGTCAGCCTGGCATACTGGAACATAAAGTTAAAAATTGAGATCTACGTTGGCATGGTGGTACCTCTGTAATCCAAGACAAGAGTGTTGGCCCTGGATTTAGCTTAGCAGCATAAGCCTTGCCTGGCAAGCACGAGGTCGTGAGTTTGATCTCTGGTATCAAAAAAAAGTGTCGCCTGAGTCTAGGAGTTCAAGGCAAACCTGGCAACATAGTGATAGCCTGTATTTCAAAAAAAAGCACAACAGAAGAAAAGTTTAAAGATGGTATTGTTGCACAAAATTTGAGTACATTCCTAAGATCTGAATTGAATTGTGAATTGAACACTTAAGATGGAAAGCTTTCGAAAGCTGGAGGAAAATATTTGAAATTTCATATTCCCACACTATAGGAATTGTTTTCTGTAATATAGCCCATAAAAGTGCTTATGTACGGACAGCTGAGAAGTGAAATACCTAGAGTAGGAAGCTTCATTATACTCAGCTCATTAAAGTACTGTATAAATTCTTAGTTCCACCAAGTGTGTAACTAAGATTACTGAACACCACCTATCTTGGTGTTTATAACATCTTCCAAGCAATGTGGAAACATTTTTTTTCAAGGAAGATTAGCGGGTTTTTATGAATTAAGGCTTAAATGGGGCAGTTTGCAGGTTTTTTCCAAAGAAGGAACCATTTGGGTTTGTTTTGGTTTTGGTTTTTGCCTATGTTGTTTTTGCTCTCACACCCAAGGAGGGGGACTAATTTAATGCTGCATTGAGTCATGCTTATCATTTTAGTTCCTTCATGGGGAACTGTTAGAGAAGTTCACATAAAGGATTCTTGGTTTATAGGTTATTATTTTAAATGGAAGTGAAAACAGTAAGGCAAATCTAAAACTCAGGCCATCTGAGACTGGGAATTCTGTGCTTGCAAATTTAAGGTACTAGGGGCTGGGGATTTAGCTCAGCGGCATAATCACCTGCCTTGCAAGCAGGCGGTCATGAGTTTGATCCCCGGTACCAATAAAAAAAAAAAAAATTTAAGGTACTCTGAAGGCTTATTTTACAAGCTTTAGGAAATGTAAAATTGTCGTTTTTAAAACACACAGCTGTTTTTGTAAATTAAAGACTTGTGAAAGGCATTGTCTTTATTTTTTACTAAAGGGTTGTGATTTTTGGCTTTTTTTTTTTGCTTTGGCTGAAGTACTGCATAAGGTTTAGCCATTATAAACTGGATATATGTATGAATGTGTGAGATTTGCCTTGATTGCTTTTCGTGGGTCTATATAAGGGTCTAAAGTACACAAGTAAATTAGAGTAGAAGTCTCTAGGGTTATTTACCTTCCTATATGTCTGTAGTGATGGCAGAAAAATAACTGGGAGATAAGGTTTGTATTGAGTATATTCATAGAAGTCAATAATAACTTACAAATATGACCTAACAATTTGTCAATCTAATCTTTTTTATATTTAATAGTTAACTTATTGTTTATATCTAGAGGTTTTTGTCTGGCGAGTTGGTCTCAGTATGTAGTATAGGCTGCTCTTCAACTTGCTTTGTAGCCCACCCTGGCCTCAAACTTGTGACCCTTCTGTCTCAGTCTCCTGACTGGTGGTATTTCAGGCATGTACCACATTGCCTGGCTAAGAATTTTTGATCACAGAATTTATTTTCCTATATCCTTTCCCTTCATAAATTTAATATCTCATAAGAGTTGATAGAATAGATATGCTAGTGTGATACAACTACCCCAAAATACAATAGCTTACAACAGTTCTTTCTTATGTAGGTCAGCTGGTTTCAGCTGGTTGGTTCCTGCCTACAAGCTAGGGTCCTGTACGTGCCTCTTTCCCTTGGAAACTCACTTTATAGCTTCAGTTCCTTGTCTGGCTCTTCAGCCTGGTGGCCAGAATAGCAAAGGGCTTTGGTAATGTATCCCAGGCAACTTTATCTGTTTTTTTGTTTGTTTGTTTGTGTTTTTTACTGGGAATGGAACTCAGGACTTCAGGCTTGCCAGGTAGGCGCTGTGCCACTGAGCTATATCCCTGACCCCAAGCAACTTTATATGGTGACTGGACCCCAAAAGAGTAAAGGTGGAATCCACCAGGTGTTTCCAGGAGGAGGCCCAGAGCTGACTCATAGTCACTTGCACAGCATTCTGTTGTTCACAGCACGTTACAAAGGCAGCCCAAACTGAGGAGGAAGATTAGACTCCACCCTTTCTGAGTGGAATTGTTGGTGTCTGTCCTTGTGTATAGTCAACAAATCTCTAAATTCAGATCTTATCTCTTACCCTTGCCAAACCAGCATAGTTTTGCTGAAGCTTACAATTACCAAAGAAGTTTGTTAAAGGATCCTGATAGTTCTACTTGGGATGTAGGGTAGGAAGATTGCGGACATAAATACAGATTTATATTTATGCTACAGTATTTACATTTAATAAATATAAATCAATTTTACCACTTCTCAACAAATCTGTTACTTGTTCTCTTCATGAAACGTTAATAACTAGATGTTTGCTTTGTGGTACTTTACAGTCACAAAGCATATTATATCCCATGTACATGGTATTAGGTAAAAACCTAATAACCTGATTGACCATGTAATTGGCAGCCCTAAAAAGTGAACTTTTACGCATCCTTGAAACTTTCACTTTTAGTTGCTTTGGACAAAGGTTGAGATTTCTTCTCTTTACCTCAGAAGTAATAGTGTGAAGTTACTGACTTAAATTACAGAGCAATTCAAAGGAGCGTGGCCTACAGATAGGCTTGGAACCTAACTAATGTTACTGAGTGGTGGGCAAGATGCTGTGTTCTGTAGCAGATACATGGGTCATATAACTTATCAACCTCTGCACTGCCATGTTCTTCTGTATACCTCCAGTATCAGACTCTTTGAGCAGAGGACTTTATCCTAAAATCTCACTTTTTCCCGTGGAATCTGCTTTATCTTCTCCAGAGACTCTTTACAGTCGTAAGTTTGTTCTTATAAAATGCATCACACATCTAAGATGGTGTGTCTGTGGGTAAGGAATTAAAATAAATGAGTCTGTGTCTCAAGCACCACGTGGCTGATGGAGTTGGGTGTGAACCAGGGTTCCGTAGGAGAATTCCTTGTAAAAGTTTCTCCCAGAGCAGCATCTGAGCGTTTATGCCAGCTTTCACTGTGAAGACTATTTACACATACACCATTTGCACTGCCTTTTTATATTTGACATTTTCTGAATTGTTGTTTTGAGTCTACTTGTTCTTTGAAGAAGGCTTGGTTCCACATAATAGGAACATTAAAATAAATGATCATAATAACTGGACAGTGTCGAACTGTTTGAAGCATTTATAGGAGGGGCTGAGGGCATGAAATACAGCGGGACACACTCCTCTGGGAATGCTAGGAATGTTGACAGACAATGTGAAATAGACCTAGTGATCCTGCTTTTATTTTCTTAGTATCCATAATTGAGAGATCATCTTACAAAGTCTGGTTTCCAGAGCAGAGGTATGCTGTTTGTCTCAGATGAAAAAGGATGGTAATATAGACTGGAAGCCCTACCTTGGGCAGCTTCTCTCAAACATAAAGGAGCAAAGTAGGTCATTCAAAGCAGGCAAGATTCGGAAAGGGAAATTAAGAACTGTCTAAAAGGCAGAATTTAATTACATACTGGTTGGATGGATAGAAAAATTACTGTATAGTATAAGAAGATCCCAGAAACAATCTTGGAGATGGATCTTCAAAGAAGGATTACGCTTTGCACAGGAGACAGGAAGAATGGGTAAGGGAAAGGGGGCTTTTGGAGTGTTCAGGTGTGAGGAATGGCAGGGCAAAGGGCAGTGCCATCAGAAGGAGGACCACCAGTGTTTATTTGGTTGAAAGTGAGAAGAGGAACAAGCTGCCTGGCTTGAAGCCATGTAGAGTAGGATTTTAATGCCTTGCTAAGGAATTTTTAGAATCAGAGGTGGTTAAATGGTTAGAGAAATTATTTTGACTGTTTTAACACTAGGCTGTATGGAGAGTCTGGTGGGCCAGAAGTCAGTTCTTTCCATGTCCTGTAGATGGTGAGGAAGACTGCAATATGTTGGTGTCTGTGGAAATGGAACTTGGTCATGCAGAACAATGTCAAATCATGATCTTACTTTACTAGGAGGTGGTGACTTATTGATTATAAACATGGAACTCACTTAGCCTCTTTTTAAAATCTGCCCTCACCTCAACTGTTCAAAAGTAAATAGTGAAATAATATAACAATTGAATTCTTCAGTTCTCTTAATAAAAATTTTTGTCTGAGTGGATGACTTATTTGCAGCCCTGAATTGATTAGTGTGTCCTTCTGAGGCCTATTCTAAAGGTAATGAGATTTCAATAAAAGCACATAAAATTGGATCTCAGAGTTGGGCCATTTGTCTTATCTGAATTTTGGAGCTTCTAGAACTTCCTATTGCATTTGAAAAAAACAAAAACAGGGCTGAGACATAGCTCCACAGTAGAGTGCCTACCATGCGCAAGGCCCTGGGTTCAATCCCTAGTGCCACAAACAAAACAAACAGCCCTAACCTTTATGTTATATGTTTGACTATATGTCTATACAGTATGAGAGTGGATTTTCTTTATTCTGTATGAAATCACAACATCATTAGAAGATTATAGTAAACCAGACTTCTGTCCTGAAGGATGTTTTGTACAAAGGGATGCCTGTTTAGCTGACCCCTTTGTTCCAGAACTCTTCCCCTGTGGTACACGTATTAAGAGGTCCAGTGGAAGCCATTGCTCATGCAGTTGGATTTCTATGTTGCCTTTTATCATTGCAGCTTGTGATGTGAATTGTTGAGCAAATATAATGGGCAGAAGTCCATGAATTTAACTTGTTATACAATTTTGGGAAAATAGTGGTCATGTTTGTGTTTGGGAAAGATGGCTGTGGTCATATTTGTCACCTGATAGTTTGCAAACAAAAACAAAATTCTGCCGAATGCTTCTGTTTGCAAGTGAATTTGTTTGCAAACAAACAAAAGTGTTCATGAACCAAGGTGCCACTGTAATAGAAAAGTAGTGTCATTTAGATCATGTTAGAACTAGCAAAAGTATCTTAAAATCTGCTGTTCTAGCACTGCTGTTATTAGTAATCACAGGGAACTCTTTACCAAGTTCCACATCAGATTTGATACCATCACAATTACATTTTAGATGTATTTGAAGTGGCTTTTTTCCCAGCTAATAGTGTTAGGTGCTTCCTGGGAAATAGCAGTGAAATGAAACAGGTCGCTATGGATAATTAGAATTTGAATTTAACTCTCACTTTTTGCTTCCTTCATAACAGGAAAGGAGTGGTTAATCACAGAACAAACTTCATATCAGCTGGTATACCAAGGTGTTGCCCCTAGAACGCATCTTTGCTCTCAGGTTGTTTCCAGCAGTCTCAAGTTTAGTTGGAGAATATCCCAGCCCCAATGTTTGCCCTTTGTATTGGTTTTATTTCTTAGATTAATGGTTTGAGTTGTTAAATGAATTGGAGAGTGAAACAGCACTGTTAGCGTCTTGTCATCTTTTTCTTACCCCAGTGCTGTGCTGTTTGTGGGTATATAGCAGGACAAGCTTGTGCATGTTTATAAATGGCCTTGTAGAATGGAAAGCAACCTTTCAGCATGCAAATGAAACTGAATTGTGTATTCTTTACATCCTTGCAAAAATTTGTATTTGGACTTTTGTAGCTTGAGAGTTGTCTGAAGTACGGTCAGGCCATACTAGAAGCAACATTTCTTTAATGCTTGTTGCATTAGTATTCTTGTTAATGCACCTGACCATTCTAGACTTAGTAGTGTTGTTATAATTCTAAGTTTCATTTCAGTTTTCTGATCATATTCTTTTTTTTTTTTAAGGAGAAAAAGAAAAAAACAGAAAAAGGGTACAAGTAATACAAAATTTAAAAAATAAACAGTAAGAAATCACTAGTTAATAGATTACATATTGTCATCTTAGAAATAGTTGTTCAAGTTACAAAATTGAAGCATATAAAGTGGACTTTCAAACAGTGAGAGTGCAAACAGTTTTGTTCAATGATCCAAAAAAACTCAGTAATATGGTTTTCTATCTTAGACACTTAAACAAATATGCAGTTTTAACCTTTAGAGCACTTTCTTTTCTTTTCTTTTGTACAATGACAGTTACACATTTTGGGTTTTATTACTCCCACAGTTCTTATAGTTTTCTGATCATATTCTACTAATAGTCAAATGTTTTTCCTTTACTTAATTTATCCAGAGTAGTTATCCATATTTTAAAGGCATTTTAATTTTGAGAAATTATTAGTGAAGGACTGACGAAATGTGGTGTCTGAGTATTGTATTTAAATACATGAGTAGCAGTTATGACCCACCTAGGATTGGTGAGTATTTGGATTTGGAAGAGTTGTTACTCTTCACTGAACCCTCTTTGGCATTTTTAGTTCTTGTCTTACAGGGTATCATAAAGCATATATTTGGAGAAGGTAAGAACTGAAAATTTAGCACATACTAGTGATTTTGGACATTTAAAAGTTCTTTATAGATTTTGAAAGGAAAAAATGAAAGTTAAAGAAATTAATCTGAATGTTCTGCTTTTGTTGTTGTTGTTTTCATTGTTTTGATAATTATTATGCATGTGTGGCCAGCCAAATGGCACTTAAATGGCTCTACATGCCAATTAAAACTGGGATTTTGTTAAAATTTTCAGTGTATCAAGTTTTTACTAGTTTCTTCTCTAGACTAGTTTAATTTAAATTACTGCATCTTATTAAACTCAAGATTAGCAGATTAAAAAGCTAACATATTACTTACAAAATATTTACAGTGGAAGGACAGAATTCTCCATTGAATTTTTCTTTGTACTTGGGCTTGCAGGAGTTGTGGCGGCGCGTTAATGAAGAAGTGGAACAATGTGTAATCATGGAGTCTCCTTGCTAGTCATCACCACCTGCTCTCCTTGATAAGTGATCGAGAGATTGGGTCAGGGGAAGAAAAAGAAGTCAACATGAAGCTGAAGCAGCGAGTTGTACTATTAGCAATACTCCTTGTCATCTTTATCTTCACCAAAGTTTTCCTGATTGACAACTTAGATACATCAGCTGCCAACCGGGAGGATCAGAGGGCTTTTCACCGAATGATGACTGGCTTGCGAGTAGAGCTGGCACCGAAGCTGGACCACACCTTGCAGTCTCCTTGGGAGATTGCAGCCCAGTGGGTGGTGCCCCGGGAAGTGTACCCTGAAGAGACCCCAGAGCTGGGGGCAATCATGCATGCCATGGCCACCAAGAAAATCATTAAAGCTGATGTGGGTTATAAAGGGACGCAGCTGAAAGCCTTACTGATCCTTGAAGGAGGACAGAAAGTTGTCTTCAAACCTAAGCGGTAAGTCTTCATTGCAGAAGCCATAAAAGCTAGTTAGCTGGTGAATTTAACTCGAGATTTATATAAGACTGCTAATCTCCTTTTCTTGGTATTCTTTTCAGTAAAATGCAAGGCAGACTGGAAGCTCTACCTACTTTTCTAGTTCTGAAAGTATACAATTCTTTGAGGAGAAGAAAAATAGAAAACATACTTTGCTTCTTTGGAAGACTGAATTTTTGACAGTTAGACCTATTCTTGATCTCTAATTTATCAGACACCTATTTTGTGTCAAGTATAAGTAAAAAAAAATAACTGGTTAGGAACTAAGTAGCTTGTCACCAAAAAATGTACCAACGAAGACTGGATAACCACATTTCCGAGGTACTGTAAAGATGGACTAGGTTTTAGATGGGAGACTGAAGTCTCTTTCAGTGCTGAAGCGCTAATTCTTGATTTTTTTCACCTGTTTTTGTCTGAGCAGTTTTAGGTTCACAGAAAAATTGAGGAATATATACAGAGAATTCCTATTAATTGCGCTCCCACTAAGCTTCTCAGCATTTTCCATTAGTGTAATTATTTGGTATAATTGATGAGTCAGTAATGGTCTGTATTTCATTTTATTTTATTTTTTGATCTTTTTGAGACAGTGTTTCTCTATGCAGTTCAGGATGGCCTTAAGCTTACTTTGTAGCCCAGGCTAATCTTGAACTTGCAGTGATCTTCCTGAGTGCTGGGATTATAGATTTGTACCACCATCCCAGCTTGGTCTTTATTACTAACTAGAGTTTAGTTTGCATTAGGGTTCACTCTTTGTGTTGCCCATGCTAGGTTTTGACAAATGTATAAAGACATATGCCCATCATTATAATACCAGGTAGAATAGTATCCTTGCTCTCAAAATCCCTTGTGCTTCATCTTGTCATCCTTCCCTTCCTACTGTTCAACCCCTGGAAACCATACCACACAGTGTTTAACCTTTTCACTTGACATCTATCATTTAGCAATATACATGTAAGCTTCCTACTTATCTTTTTGTAGCTTGGTAGCTCAGTTGTTTTTATGGCTGAGTAATATTCTGTTGTGTGGATGTACTATATATATGTATATATGCAAATTTTTGTGTGAACATAAGTAAGTTTTCACCTTATTTGGATAAATATAAAGAAACATTGGCACAATATGTGGTAATGGTATGTTTAGTTTTGTTAGAAACTGTTTTCCAAAGTGGTTCAAGAAATGAGAGTTTCTGTTAGGTCATATCCTCACCTGGATTTTATGTTGTCAATGTGTTGAATTATAGTCATTTTAAAGAGTATCTTGTCATTTCTTAACCTGTCTTAAGCAAAGAACTAGGCCATGTTAGTTGCCTCAGTAACTGGTTTGTATGATGTAATAACGCCTTTGGACTTCTCTGGAGATCTACAGAGATAATTTAGTACTGCACAGTAGTTAATTTTCTAAAACAGTTTTCTTTGAGTAAAAGTTAACATGATGATGATTCATATTCTTTTGCCAGGAGTTAGTTACCAACAAAATATCTCAAAATTTGTGTACCAAACATTTTTTCATTTCTTGGTAAACTTGAGAAAATTGTACACTTAGATTTCTTGCTGGGATGAGAGCAGATATATAGGGAAAAGATGTACAAAATTCAATTCCCTTTGTTATCCAACTCTTGGTAGCTAAAAAGCAGCTAGACCATGAATTTGTTTGGGATTCTAGCAGTGAAAGAGGCCAGGGTTTGTTTGCCTGGAAGAATTGGGAAATATGATGGATGGAAAATGTAGACATTGGGCAAGCTTAAAATGCAGTAGGCTTTTGGAGAATAGATTGGCTTTGGTGGTGGAAAAAGTACACTAATTCAAAATCTAATTTTTGTTGAATGCACACCATTTGCCTGGCATTATGCCAAGTACTTTTACATCTGTTAATGGTTTTAACCTTTGGATCAGTTTTAGTTATTTCCAGAATAAGAAACTGAGGCTTAGAGTAACTACCTAGCCAAAGTCATCCTACAATAACAGGTGGATTTGGAATTTGAACCCAGATCTGTCAGAGTTGCAGGCAGCTTGCATTCTGGCATATACATAGAATTCTCTTAAGTTTCGTTTTTCTTTTTTTCTTTTTCTTTTTTTTTTTTTTTTTTTTTGATAGCGGGGACTGAACTCAAGACTTTGAGTTTGCCAAGCAGGTACTTACACTGCTGAGCTAACCACCCAGCTCTCTTAAGTTTCTTTTTTCGCCTCTCTGTAAGTGTGATGATGTGTAGCACCCATCGTTAAAAATCACTAATTCAGTTTTGAAATTAGCAACAGCAAAGTGAAAGAAGGCAAAACAAAAATAAAAATTAAATTTGTATAGAAAAAGATGAGTTATAAATACTTTGCTTAAACAAAAAGAATTCCTTTCCACACTCACTACTTGTACACTGGAGAGTTAAGGGTGAGATGGGAAGTGTTAGAAGACAGACTGCTAACAGGGAACAGTGTAGACCAGGGCTTTGCAGCAGGCCTGAAGCGTTCAGGGGAGGGATAAGTGGAGGGAAGAGAAGCCAGATTGATACGTAGGAAGGTGGCAACAGAGAAGGAATGAACCCCAGGCCTTACGTGGTTTATCTCATATCTCTTACTACCCTGTTTTAGCATTGGAAATCTGACAGTTACTAGTTGAACAACTCTTCTTTACTCATGTTGTCACTATGCCTACCAAACCAAACCCAGCCATGGGCCATCCGATCTGCCTCTCTATTCTGGGCCTTCGTCTCCCTTTGCTGTTTTTTCCTATCAAACTGGGCCCCAGCTCCTCCACTCTGCTGACTAGTTCCTGCTTTCTCTCAGCTGCAGGACAGTTTCCTTTGCTTTTCCATTTCACTGTAAATTTATGTAGAAGGTGTTAACTCTCACTGTGCACCGTGACCTGTGTGCTTTACAACAGACACTCATACAGGCTGAGGAAGATGAGGGGCGTAGGTTTAAGCATTTGTGCAAATTGACTTCAATCTCTAAACACCCAGCATAATACTCTTCTGACCCCTGGGGCCTCATATGCTTTTTATTCCTCCTTCTAAGTGCAAATTAATGACCTCACTCAGACTCCGATATCCTTCACTAGGATAGGAGTGATTAACTGGCAGTTACTTTATGAATCTCGCTGTTCTGTCAGTGACTTAAGATGAATCACCCTCTGCTGAAAGGAGGACGTAAGTTCTCCCTGCTAAATCAAGACGTGCACCTTTTTTAAATAGCCACTGTGGTTTCAGCATTTCTGGAGCCATGTGTTACTCTCAGAGGTAGAAGATATGTGTGGGTGGGTGGCGTGCAAAGGAATATAGTGATGATTTTATGTCCTTTTTCTTATATTATACCAAATGTTTATTTGCTCTGTCTCTGTGTCTCTGTCTGTGTCTGTCACTCTGTCTGTCTGTCTGTCTCTTCCTGCCCTGTATCCATTCTGCAAGTAAATTGATTTTTGCAAGCCAAAACTGAAAGAACAAGAAGGCAGGGGCCTAAGGACTGGATAGAAGGCTGTGCATAACCTTAGGCCATGCTGAAAAGGATCTTGCACATCAGCTAGTCCACAATTCATTTTGTAGGTGAGGAAAGTAAGATCTAGAATTTTGATTTTTGCAGAGCCAGAACGTGAGCCACGGATTCAGACTCCTGCCGCTATCCAGTGCTATTCTCTCACCTTGATTCTTACTCCCTTGCATTTTTCTTCCCTTTCTCTCCAGCCTATTCCCAAAGTTCCTGAACTATTCTAGGGTTTTATATTTCATTATGAATGTATGCTAAGGCTCTCTAATATTTCACTGAATGGAGGGTACTGTACTCATCACATATCTTTGTATGACTTGCTGAAGTCCTGAAAAATATTCTAGAACATTCTTATCTTCGCAGACAACCTACACCTGTATTTAAAAGGTGTTTGTATATCAACAGCTTTTACTCCAATGATATTTAAAAATTGACCTTTTTTTTGGTCTTTTTGAGACAGGGTCTCACTATGCAATTCAGGCTGGCCTTGGGCTTACTTTGTAGCCCAGGCTGGTCTCAAACTTGCAACGATCCACCTGCCTCAACTTCCTAAGTGCTGGGATTACAGGAGTGCGCCATCATGCTGGGCCCTATAAGTTGAGTTTTAATTTAGAAGCAACCAGTGTAAATTTAGGGCCCCTAAATAATTATTTGCATTAGAAACAACAACAAAAATACTGGGTGTGGTGGCACACATCTGTAATCTCAGCACTTAGGAGACTGAGGCAGGAGAATTGCTGTGAGTTTGAGACCAGCCTGGGCTAGATAGTTCAAAGCTTGCCTGAATGTCATAGAGAGATTCTATCTCAAAAACAACAACAAAAACCCCCTACCATATTTAGGCCATGCTAAGGAGAAACTGGTGCCCTCCCATTTCGGTTCTAATAAATGTTTCATTTTGCCTTGAGGGTATGTTTTGTGGCTATCTTTCTCTTTGTATTCAAAAATCCTTTAAGTTGAAGATTATTGACTTTTTTTTTTTTTTTTGTCTTTTTTCCTTTTTATCGGTACCAGGGATCGAACTCACAACTGCCTGCTTGTAAGGCAGACGCTTATGCCGCGGAGCTAAATCCCCAGCCCAGTTATTGACTTTTATAGTACTACTTCTCAGAGCTTTTTTAAAATCAGAAATTTGACTGTCCTTACTGAAACTGCTCTTCTTCACTTCAGTCTCAACTTATTTCACAGTTGCTTTGTAAAGCTTAATAGATCTTCCTTTGATTCAGGAATGCAGGCGCTCAGTAAAAGTCATAGGTGAGTTAAATATTTTTCTCTTCATAAATAACAGGTTTAAATTGTACCTTTACAAGTGATTAGTAATGTTGAGTGTCGTGGTGCACGCCTGCAAGCCCAGTAGTCAAGAGGCTGAGGCAGGAAGATTGCTGTGAGTTTAGAGCCAACCTTGGCTACATAGTGAATTCAAGGCCAGCCTGAACTAGATAGCGAGACCCTGTCAAAAAAGAAAAAAAAAAATCAGCAAAAATATACTAGTTTTCATTATCCTTTGTTTATGTTACCCATATGGTATAAAATCATCTGAATGCAATGTAAGATGAGACCTTAGAAAATACCTCCTAGTCCAGTCCTTAATATTGTGGATATGGTATCTACACCAAGAAGAGAAGGGTTTTGTTTACGGTTACCAAGACAGATGAGAGCCACACCCAGCCTTCACTACTGGTCCAGTATTCCTTCTACTGCATCATCATGAACTTAAGAGAGAGCAAAACTGTTATTCCAGCTGCTTTTCTTCCCCAAAAGTATTTTAGCTTTTTCATCAACAAAATCTGAAAAATATCAGTACTGTTTTTCTCCCAAGAGAGTTAAACTTCTTTTATAAGCCTTATTGTAGCCATTCTGGTAAGCAGAAGTTCTTTGTTTGTTCAGTCTAATACATTATTATTACACATTTATTAAACACTGACTGTAGATTTAACACTGCTAGCAATGCAAAGATGCTTCTTGCTTTCCAGCAAATTATGTTGTAGTTGTACTTAAACCACACTGAGAGCCCTGAAAAGTGGTAAAAATGACATCTTCCATGTTTTATTTGCATTATGATTGCTGAAGCAGATACAGAATCCTAGTTTCCTTCTCTACCTTATCTCCCCACCATCTTGCAGCAATTTGTCTAACCCACTACTGTTCTCAGGTGTATGGAACAGACTCAGGTTGCTAAGTGTGGATTCTGCTTTCTTTGTGTCAGCCCAGTACCAGTGTGATGCATTGTGATTCATGTCTACACCTGTGCTTTCCCTTCCCTTTGCTAGATATAGCCGAGACTACGTGGTGGAAGGGGAGCCGTATGCTGGTTATGACAGACACAATGCAGAGGTGGCAGCCTTTCACTTGGACAGGTACGTATAAACCTAATGGTCTGTGTTCACTTTGTTTCCTTTTAAAATCAGTCTCTCCCTCCCCTTCTCTGTCTCTTGTCTGTTTCACAGTACTGCGGTTGATCCCAGGGCTTGTAAGTGCCACACAAACATTCTACCACTGAACTATATCCCAGGCCCTTTTAAAAATTTTATTTTGAGACAGTCTTGCTAACTTGCCCCAGGTTAATGATCGTCCTGCCTCAGCCTCCTTAGTAGCTAGGATTACAGGCATATACTAACATGCTAGGCAAAAATCTCTCAAAGAAAACTTGTGAACTCTCTGTAAAGAGGGCACATTAACAACTTAGAATTGTTACCTGTTTTGGGTAGCTGATTGACTAGTTCCATTACAGTTATGAATCTCGTAATTTAGGTGACACTAGGAATACCAAAGTAAATATTTTAACTTCAGACTTTTACCTTTGTTTCATTTTATTGCTGGCATGTTTGCTATCGTTATCTTGACTAAAGATATTCTTTGTAAATAAAATGGCAGGATGTTTGCACAGTTTGAGCTCATATCCCTGTGTTGAATTGGTAGTTAATTGAGAATTGGCAGTTCTGTTTTTTGTTTTGTTGTAATACTAACTTATCCTCATATACTGGAAACATCTAGCCTGAAATATATAATGAGTTTTATTGTTTTTAGTGTAAAACTTTCACAGTTTCCAAAATTAGAGTAACTTTATGTATTGGTCAGCTTTCCCACTGCTGGGACAAGTGTCTGACATACATAGATTAAATGAGGAAAGTTTGTTTGGCTCACAGTTTCAGAGATTTCAGTCCTGGTTGGCAGGTTCTGTTGCTGTGGGTCTGAAGTGAAGCAGAAGATCATGGCAGAAGGGTGTGATGGAGCAGAGCTGCTCATTTCACGGCAGCCAGGAAGCAGAGCAGACTGGAAGGAGCCCAGAGAGGAAAGTGCTAGGAGCCAGCTAAAATGGTCTCCAAGGTCATGACTTCATGACCTACCCAGGCACAGAGGTATACTTTACTAATCCAGTCAGGTTGATAGTCACGATTAACAATCACATTTCAAAAGGAAAGTAGAATTTAAAAAAAAAAAGAAATTTAATTATGAGATAACGAGAATAATACTATTTTGAGACAGATTCTTGTTGAGTCAGGCGTGGTGGTTCACTCTTGTAATCCCAGTACTCGGCAGGCTGAGGCAGGAGGATCATTGTGAGTTCGAGGCCAGCCTGGGCTACAAGGTGAGATCAAGGCCAGCCTGAACTGCATAGCAAGACCCTGTCTCAAAAAGACAAAAAAAAAAATAGAGACAAATTCTTGCTGTGTGGTTTGGGCTGGCCTTAAACTCACTCTGTAGCCCAATCCAGCCTCAAATTCATGATGATCCTCCTGCCTGGAATTACAGGTGTGTGCCATCACATCCAGCATTCAAAATAATATATTTTATTAGCAGATTGTTAATCAGGAACCTCTTAGCTAAACTTTGTCCGATATCCCAATTACTGTTCTCGCCAATTCTTTTAATCTAGTATATTGAAGGACTTTAAAAGAAATTATTTACAATATTTACTTTAAAATGAATTTGTAAGGATATTAGGGGGGGAGATTTTTTTTTTTTTTGGACTAGGAAGGATTTTCTACATGTTTATACAATATGCAGTAAAACCTATAATAGAAAGTGGGTCAAGAACACAAGCAGTTAGCTGAATAGGAATTACCTTTTGCTAATAAATATGGAAGCAAGTTTGTCTTCACTAAAAATCCCCAGTACCGATCAAAAAAAAGGCAAAAAACATTTAAAATTTAAACTATCGGTTACTGTTTTCACCTGCCAAAAACAGCAAGTTTTTTTTTTTTAAAGATAATACTTTATTGGTAGAACTGTATTAAGATTTATATTCTGCTTTTGGCATTGTTAATTTCAGTATTTCTATTAAGAACTCTGGGGCCAAGGCAGCCTAAGTGCCTCCCTTGCAAGTTTTGAGATCAGGAGTTCAATCCCTGGCACCAAAAACAAAAAAAACTGGCATTTTGTATCAAAAACTCCCCCGTCCCCCGGTGCTGGGGATGGAACTCACAATCATGCACTTGCCAGGCGGGGGTGTATGCCACTGAACTAAATCCCCAGTCCCTGAATCAAAAATCTTAATGTCGAAAAAAATTTAATGTTGATTTTGTTTGAATGAATGACTTTTTATGTACATATTTAAGATATTTCTAGGAAGATGTTTTTGGGAAATACCATAATGCAGTAATAGATTTAAAAATACATATACTTGCCAGAGGTTAAGCTCAGTGGCCTAGGCACCTGCTTGGCAAACGTGAGGTCCTGAGTTCAATCCCGGGTACAAAAAAAACCCCACATACTGCTTTCTTAGTTGTACTGAAAAACTAATAGCAACCTGAATATCTATAGATAGAGAAACAGTTAAATAAATGTTTATAATATTGTGTTTTTCTGCCTCTTTTAAAAGCTAGTGGCAGAAAGTTGAGTAAATCCTACTGTGCCCAGCAGAATCGTGATGCCAAAACATTATTTATTATTTGCATGTTTTCTTCACTGTCTAGCCTCTTGCTTTCTATTTCTTGGATACCAGCAGGTCATAAAATCCCTCATTTCTCCATTTCCAAACCAGTATTTTGTATTACCTAATGTAGTAATTTTTGTTAATTGAATGTAGTTACTGTGAAAGTTACTGTGTAAAGTTGATCTTTTCACAGCATGCCTATCTGCTGAATAAGATATTCCTTGTTTTAAAAAAATGTTACTTTTGATGCTTCAGCTTACAACTTATGCTTTAAGTGTCTTACATTTCAGAGTTTTTCAGAGTCTCGAAGCTGGATACTTGTTGGCCATGCCCCTACCTGATTGTTAACTGCCACGTGGCCAGCTTGGAAGTGCCGCTGTGATAGTGGTCTTCACCACTAAACTGGCCTCTGGTCTCTGGCCTGCACTGCTCAGTGGGAAGAAAAAATATTTCCCATTCTCCTCACCCACTCCCACCCTCCCCCCATGGCCTCTGACACTTAAGCTTTGCTTTTTTTTTATTACACATAAATTTGGCCAGTTTCTCTTGCCTCAGGGGTTCTCTCAATTTGTATGTCATTTTGACAAATCTGTTTCTCGTTTTGTGGCTTTTCTCAGATTTAGGATAGACTCAACACATTTAGTAGATTATTTATAAAATAGCCATTTTTAAAGTCTTTCTAATGACATGAAGAAAGGTTCGTGAACACAGTGATAGATAAACAGCAGGATACAAAACTGCACGCAGTATAAGCTCAACTACTTGTATATGTATAGGTATATGTATTTATGTGTGCACGTAAACAAAAAATGCTTATAAGCCAAAATGTCAGTAGTCATTTATGGGTTGTAGAATTAATGGATGGTCTTTGTTTTCTTGATTATCAATTTTCTGTGTGTTCTAAATTTTACTCATCTAACTTTTCTTTATAGATTATGTATATTGTAGCCAGGAAATTTCATTTATGGAAAAAAGATTGTTTTCAGTCATAAGGTACCATTTTCACACCATCAGAGAAACTTTCAAATGTACCTCTATTTAAATTGTAATAAATTATAATATAGTGTACATCTGCAAAGTTCTGAATCCATTTTGAGTTCAGACCTAATGTTTTTCCAATGCTTTATTAAAATTTATTTTTTAAAAACTCATGTACTCCATAGATTTAACAGTTCATGTGTTGCCTGACTTGTCTGATCCTTTTTTCTAAAGTGGAAAATAAATTACATACATCTTGACATTAAACTCCTAAATATATGTTGTCTCTTAAAAAGGCATACCTACCAACTTGTAGTACCTTTACACATTTAACATTTATTAACCATAATTTTGAGACTGTTATTTAAAAGCACAATCTCAAAAGATTTGTCTCTTCTTCAATCTTCCAAATCAGGATTCTGGGTTTCCGTCGCGCTCCTTTGGTGGTTGGCAGATTTGTTAATCTGCGAACAGAAATCAAGCCTGTTGCCACGGAGCAGCTGTTGAGCACCTTCCTAACTGTAGGTAAGAGGATTATGGAGAACATTTAGATAGGAGAGGAGTTAGTAAGTTAAATGGGGCACAACTGAGCAAGCCGGTTTATCTTGGAGGACTTAATGAACCCAAGGGAATCCAAAAACAAATAGGCACACTGGTCTCTGATTAATAAGAAAAATGGATTTAAAGGTAGATGGGGGGAAATTGAAAGTTTTCTCAAAATGTGCACATTATTGTGCCTCCACAGTAGGAAATGAGGTCATTTATTTCTTCCACTTGATCTTACAACTAAGTCTTACTCAGAATTTGACCTAAATCAGTTATTGTCCACATATCATTGTGTGAGTTACTTTTTTATAAACATGTGTTTTCTTGGGACCTGCCTCCTGTAACCTGAGAACTGAGGAGATCATCAGGCAGCTTGGTAAGAGGGTCTCATAGGAGTGCATTTGGGTGAGGAAGATCATTGCCTCGCTGTGCTGTGCGGGGTGGTTGGTCCTCATTGGGTTAGCACGGAGCTGACCGCTCTGCGCTGCCCCCTGCTTTCTGTTTTCTCATTCTGAGACTGAGGATCTGAACTACAATTCCTGTTTGCTCTCTACCCTAGCGCGTCCCTGGGTCTTTTTCTGTCTCCATAATGTTTACCTTTCCCAAGTATTCTTCATTTTCATCCATTCTGCCACAGTTGACAGTGTTTCACTCTTGTTTTTCTGGGCAAATACTATTCTACTATGTATTTGTACATTTTCTTTATCCATCCATTTTTTTTAAATTTTTTAAAATTATTTTGAAGGTAGTAAAATATGACAGAAGAAGACAGAACAAAGCCAATTTAGACAGTGTAGTGAAGTTGGTACAGAACTTCACAGCAGGATCCCAGGATAACAGTAACAGGTATCACAGTATATCTCGTAATCTTCACAATAGTTGTTCTTTCAGTCAGGTATAGCAAAATAAAACGAAATACAGAACATTATAGAACTTATCAAAACAGAATATTGAATAGAGCAATACCATTAATCAGAATAAAGCAAAACAGTGGTAAAAATATTTGCCTTCAAAGAGATGGTAGAAGGAAATCCCCCTTATTTGCTATATTGCATATGGTCAGCCTCCCGAGAGATGGTCAGATCCCTGGCTCCCATTTGCTAATGGAGGTGGGTGGGTGGGATATTTGATTCTCAGCCCATGCGCCAGATAGGCTCGCTACCGCTTGGCAGGGAGGCGAGTTGGTTGCTTGGTTTTCCCCAGCACCCTAAGTTCCCACATGGTGTGGATCTCAGGGTCACTGGTGGTTCTCGCCCTGGGGCGGCTGCAGCTTGCCGAGCCATAGCCGCTTACCAGGGGGGTGAGCTGGTTGCTTGGTTTCCCGGCACCCTAAGTTCTGTTCATCCATTTTGAACACCTGGGTTGATTCCTTATTGTGGCTATTGTGAGTGGTGCTGAAGTAACCTTGAGAGTATAAAACTGTCTTTGATGGGCTGATTTCCTTTGTAGTGAAATTGCTGGATCATATGGTAGTTTTAGGCATAATTGGTTTTTTAGGGGTTTTTTTTTTTTTTTGGACAGGGTCCTACTTTGTAGTTCAGGTTGGCTTCAAAATAATGGTGATCTTTTGTCTCAGCCTTCTAAATGCTGGGTTACAGGTGTACATCACCATGTGTGGCTTGCATACATGGTGGTTTTTGAGGAACCTCCATACTGTTTTCATAATGGCTATAGTAATTTACATTTTTATCAACAGTGCATGAAAATTCCCTTTTCTCCACATCTTTGCTGGCAGGTTTTTATATGTCTTTTTGATGACTAATACTCTTAACTGGATTAAGATAGCACCTCTGTGTGTGTGACAGAACCTTGCTGTGTGGTCCAGGCTGGCCACAAATTCATGGCAACTCATGTTTTGACTTGCATTTCCCTGATGATTAGTGGTGCTGAACATTTTCCATATAACCTTGTTTGTTCTGCTTTTACTTTATTTATTTATTTTGGTGTTTTGAGACAGGGTCTTGCTCTGTAGCTCAGGCTGGCCTTGAACTCACTATGTAGTCCAGCCCCGAGTGCTGGGATTGTAAGTATGCACCACCACACCCAGCCTTGTTTGGCCTACTTTAAATCACATTCATTGCTTTCTTACTATTTTAATGAGTTCTAAGAATTCCTTATAGAGCTAGGAGTATAGTTCAGGGATCAAACATTTGTAAGACATTTGTAATATATAAGAGGGCTTAGATTCTAGTCACAAGTCCAAAAATAGTCCTTTGTCAGATACATGGTTTTGCAGGTACTTTTTGCTAATCTGTGACCTTTTTTTCATTCTTTTGACACATTTTTAAATACTACTAGATAAGTTGGTATAATAATGACCTAGTTCTCTGTAGCCCTTACAACTTGAAAATGCTCTTTCACTCTGTTACTTGATTCGCTTGATAAAAGAATGTAATAAACCACATGTGGTGGCACATGTCTTATAATTCCAGCACTAAGAATGCTGAGGCAGCAGGATCACAAGTTCAAGGATAGCCTGGATACACAGTGAGACTCTGTATTCAAAGAAAAACAAAAGAAACCTACACAGAGAGAAAATGAGTAAAAGAGGAGTCACTGCCTTCAACTGAGAAAGGTAAAAGACGTCCTCAAAGATACAAAGCTACCATTAGCCAGGATTCAAACTCAGATTTTAAGACACTAAAAATCATTTATCAGTTTATACTACTTCTGTATTCACTTATTCAGCAAAACTTTAAACCAGACCTGTTGACACAGCCTGTGATCCCAGCATTCAGGAAGATGAGGCTGGAGTATTGAATTTGTGGTCAGCGTGGGCTACATAGTGAGTTCAAGACAAACCTTACTATAGATCAAGACCCTGTCTTAATGCACACACATTCATACACAAAACTTTACTTCACTTCTTTATGACAGGTTGTAAACTAGGTACTGAATATTCAAAATGAATGACCTTCCTGCCTTTAAGGAACTCTCTGATGGAGAGCACGATACAGGGCCTAAGGAGACATAAGGAATGTGGAGAAATGGGAAGAGGGCCTAGAAGTTAGGGCCAGAGTGACAACTCATTGGTGAATGTTACATACTAACTCGAGTCTTAAAAGGTGGTCCCCCAGATAGATATAGTGGGAAAAAACATTCAGAGTTTACTCAAAGTAGTGTTTTGGTTTTATAGTGCTGGGGGGATCATATCTAGACCTTTATATATGATAAGCAAGCAGTCTGTCATTGACTTACATCCTAAACTCAGTGTTGTTTTTATTTTTTTGGTACCAGGACTCAAACTTAGAACTTTATGTTTGCCAGCAGGTACTTATGCTGATGAGCTATATGCTTGACCCCTAAACTCAGTGTTTTTAAATCCATAAATTAAAGTACATAGATTTATAAATGAAACCAATAATAGTCAAGTAAATTTCATTATCAAAAATTATACAAGTAAATTTGTGGTACTATAGTTATGTGCTTTGTTATTTAACATGTTAAAGTAACAAAGTCCAGTAGAGCTCTAGTAACTGCCATAATCTTAAATTATGAAGATAATTTCACGGTGCTGGGATTGAACACAGAGCCTCACACATGCTAGGCAAGCACTATACATCACTGAACTGCATTCCCAGCCCATAAATGATATTTTGAGATACCTGCAACATACTAATTCAGAATGAAAAAAGTTATGATTCTCTTAGTGAGCAAGACAAAAGTAATGTTAATATTATAGTTTGCTTGCCACCATCATAGTTGAATGAAATGCTAAATTTCACATAGAAATAAATGAAAATGAAGATGAAATTATTTTCTCATCCAATTTACAAGTCCCTTGAGTTAACTATATTCTAGGTAGAAGACAAAGCACAGACCAGGGTGATGAGAAGTGAAAGAAGACAAAAACAAGCTCACGAGTCTGTGAATTAGCTGAAGTAGAGTGCGTGGGCCTAGCCAGTGTGGAGTATAGTTGGTCAAGACAGTCTCTGAAGAGCCTGTAAGCCATGGGGCCACTAAGAGAGATTGAGTGTGGAATAATCAGATTTCAATTTAGAAAATGAAGTGAGGTGACCATGTAGTAGATGAATTGGCAAGGGGAGAAACGAGAGAGGACCACTGCAGAAAATTCATGTGCAGTGAGACAGAACTGAAGGCAGATAAAGGATGCAGAGTTTCAGATGATACTCAAGAGTGGCAATACAAAGACTTTAGTGAGCTCTTTTTGATCAGAGGGAGCAAGTGAGTGAGGAAAAAAACCTTAAAATGACTTCCAGCTTTCAGGACTGGAGGACTAAGTGAATTAATGTTAAATGTCTGCAAAGTGTACAGAGAGGTGGACTCCAGGGGAAGCACAGGAAAGTAGTGCATTTAACGTGGGCTATTTCATTTCCTTGTCAGGAACATTTAAGAGTGAATGACTAATCATTTAGGTGCTAAAATCTACAGTTAAGGAGATAATTCTGGACTGAGGGCACAGATTTTACTATCACAGTTACTCAAAAAAGAGCATAGGGACTAAAGTGAACCAGTTTAGAAGTTGAGCATGTCCGGGAAATAGCAATTTAGCACCTCAGGCTCATGGCACTGAAGCAGGGGTATAAAAGACTAGGAAGGTAGGAGGAGTTGTATTATTAATAATAAATATTTGGCATTTATGGTTTCTGACTGTCAAGCATATACCAAGCATTGCCATGGATTATCTCATTTAATCTTCACAACTCTGCATTGGAGGAACTGTTACTATCTCTTTCACATTTCTGATGTTTAGAGAGCTGAAATTACATTCCCAGATACTTGCAGTCTCCTGGTGAAAATAGTTTGTATTTTAAGGACCTGCAGTGTATCTCAGCGGTGGAGCCCTTGCCTAGCATGCTAAAAGGCTCTGGGTTCAATCCCAAGGAACACACACACACAGTTTATGTTGTAATTCCAGAAACCTGCCCCCCCCCCCATGGTCTGATCCAGTATACTATACTCACTCCCAGTTTTGAAGGTTCTTGCTTACCAAACTCATAAGATTGGGTTTTTGTCCT